GGTTTAAAAATAAACAAATCAAAGGAATGTACACCTGAGTGTGTGCACTTCCTCACCTGCTCTCCAGAGCTGGCATGGGAACCACATTAAGCTATTTTCTAATTTTCAAACCAGGCCAGCTGGACCAAGCTACACGGTCTTTGATAAATGAGAAGGAAAACCTCATTAAAGAGACCCTCCATGCTTTGATTTTTTTCTTTTCCCTCCCCCCCCTCCTCCCCTTTCTGCAAGCCACCATTAAGGACTGGAGTGATCTCCATTTAACAATCCACACCATGTTTGTGCCTCTGCTGAACTTGTTTATTTGCATTTAAAAGGGATTTGTGATGGGATGTAAACACTTTGATGGGATTGATGGCAGAGACAAAGGGGGGCTCATATTTTGATCCAGTGGACAAGAAACTGAAAAGCCATCATTAAATTGGTAACCGATGGCATTGAAGTCACCTCTTGAAATCACTGATTGGGTGTTGGAAGCAGGCAGGTTCAAAACAGAAAGGAGGGCCCAGAGGAAGAAGTGCAGGGAAATCTGCTCTTGTTTAGGGAGTTTAAACACTTTAATTTTGAAATCATAAAATGGGAGCCCAAGTGTTTATATAGATAGGTTCACAAATCAATACACACAGGAATGGTGACACATGCTTGTAATCCCAGCTGCTTTGGAACTGAGATGGGAGACCACACGGGCCCAGGAGTTCAAGATCACAGTGAGGCCCTAATTAAAAATACATAACTATACAGTACTGGTCAACATGTAAAATATTTGGGATAGGAATACAGTCGTGTTTCACAAAGAACTCTGGCCAGTGATGGATCATGTATGTGATGCTGGTCCCATAAGAGTACCATAGAGGTGAAAACTTCCTACCATCATATGGCATCACAGCCCTCCTAGAATGACCACCCACTGAATGTGTGCCGGATGTTGTGATGAATGTGTCTCCCTCACCATCAGCTGATAAAAGCAAGGTATGCACATGAAGGTTGATACCCAATACTTCATAATCAAAATAAATGATCATGCTATTCCTAACTGGTGTCTATGTTATCAGCCTCTGAAAGTTTACTATAATGCCATTTTTGCTACTTTAGATTGTTCTTGTTATTAAAATGTTTACTGTGTGAGAGAGTACCATGTCCTGCCTATGGCAACCTCATATGCAAAGACTGTGTTTATTTGTCTTATGACCGCACTGTTTTCTCATGTGCATGCTCTTAGTATTTGGTTATTTTGTTCATTATAACCTTAGAGGGCAAGAAGGAATACATACATGTGTAATTTATGTATATACAAACACACATATATATACATATACATACACATACATACATATATACATACAGACAGACAGACAGACACAAATAGGGTCATATAGCCTGGTTGTATCCAGGCTATTCTGTTTAGGTTTGTGTATGTATACCTATAATGTTTATATAACAACAAACTGCCTAATGATACATTGTTCCCAGCATGTCTATAATACATGTGTATACTATTCATACTCCTTGACTTCAGGATAATGACCAGGGAACAAAGGATCGTCTTCCTGGAAGTATTCCTTTAGGTTACAGGAAACACTGACCTGAACCAAGGGTTTCTGAACTCTCTTTTACTCATCTAGCCAAATAAACAGAGCAGTGCCCACCTTACAGTTTCTGCAAAGATGTAATGCTTCCTCTGTGGTCGTTTCCCTGACTGTGCCATGCCAGATGCATTGCTTTTACTCTCCTAAACTGTCTCCTATGCAGTTTTCTCACTGAGGACAAATCTCCATTGACTGATTGCTGTTGAAGAACATCTGCTAGGTGATCAGAGGCTCTTGAGTGCTCAGAATCATCACTGAGTAAGAAGGGCACCTAACCTCAGGGACTTGTCTGGTGTTGCCAGATGGGCACTTTAGAAATATAATACATCCTAGACCCTTGATTGTCTGTTGAAAGAAAATAAGTGAGAGGCGGAAGAGAGAGGCCAAGCTGGTGAAGTGCTTGTCATGCCACCTGAAGAACCAAGTTCTACCCCCAGCACAGATGTAAAAGCTGAGTGTGATGTCACATCACATAATGGTGTGACCTCATGTAATGGGTTTGACCTCACATAAAGGGTATGACCTCACATAATGAGTGTGACCTCCCATAATGGAGGTGATCTCACATAATGGGAGTGACCTCACACTTATTTAATCCCAGCTCTGGGGAGGCAGAGACAGGAGAATCCCTTGGATTTCCTGGCCGGCCAGTTCAGCCTTGGCCAGTTCCAGGTTCAGTAACAGACCCTGCCTCAAAAATCAAGGTGAAATGAACTCAAGGAAGACACTGGAAGCGAATTTCTGGCCTCTAACACACATACACATAACCACATGTACATGTGCTTATATCCACAAACACACATAGATACATTCACAAAATATAATGAATAAACAAATCACTGTTCACTCTCTTCCATGTATAACTAAGAAGCACTTAATGAAACAGATGCAAATGGGGGATAAGGGACATTCAGCAACCATAACACTTCTATTTGGTGGGTGATGGCTTTTTACAGTATGTACCTCTTTGTAAAATATTTAGAATTGGGAGACTGTCTCTATTTAAAATTCAGACTCAGCATAGAGGCAAATCTCCATGTCTCAGCTCTGCCGGTGCGAAGGGGATGAATGTGGACCCCTTGATCTATAAAACAATGCACCTACTGGGAATCCAATGGCATCTGGGGTAGGCTGGCTACGGAACAATATTAGTGCCTTCTTTTGATTTTTATTTAAACTTTCTTCAAAGCTTCAGACTCTTCAGTAACTTCTAGGAGTGATAATTGTATCTCTCAGGAGGTATGTGTAATGTTTAAAAAGGATCCTGGACTTCTAAGACAATGAAGGAGCTATTTACACTTACCAGAGCAGACAGATCTATTTATCAATAGCCTGTCTCCTAAATGAATTAATAAACTACTCATAGGGGCAAGGCTATTGATGTTCAGTATATCTTAGGCTTTTTGAATTAATTTTCTCACTGCTGAATGGCAACAAAATGTAACAAAGGACTTTGTCTTTTTTATTTTCTGTCTTTTTTTTTCCAGTAATGGGAATGGAATCGAGGGCCATGCATATGCTAGGTGAGTGCTGTACACTGAACCACACATCCACGTCTCAAGACATCCAGCTTCAGTTCTGGGACAAGGACACTGCTCTGCGGTCCTGAATGTCCAAAATCAAGTAAACTCTCCCAGCTACCCATTGTTAGTTTCTCATGCAAAGTCACTCCATTTCTCCAAGCCTCCCTGCCAATAAAACTGGAAAATCAGTTGAAGTTTTGGGCACTCCTGGTATTCTACAGTTCTAATGTTCCTCTGGAATTGATGTGAGAAGTGGTAAGTCAAGTCTTCAGGATCACAGGTTGATTTTCTTGGAGACTGAAGTTAAGCTCATGAGGGATTCACGGTGGCCTGACATGGGGAAATACTGACTACCTCTCCCTGAAATCTCCACTGGCTTCCCTACCATATCAAAACCCAAGAAGAGACCCGATAGATGGGTCTGATGGCACTGGCCTGTCCTGCCTGCTTCTCAGTGGCCTGAGGCATGAGGATTGGAGTTTAAGTCAAGCCTGGACTACTCAGTGAAAAGCTTGCCAATAAATAAATAAATCTGGAAATAGTGGTATACCTGTTATGCCAGCACTTGAGATGTGGAAACAGGAGGATCAAGAGTTCTAAGGCCAGCGTCAGCTACATGGTGAGGTGAGTAGAGGCTAGCCTGGGCTATATGAGACCCTGTCCCAAAGACAAATAAACAAACAAAAAGGAATGAGGGCTTGGCAAGGTTTGCATACCTTTAACCCCAGCACTGGGGAAGCAGAGGCAGGCAGATCTCTTGGAGTTCAAGGACAGCCTGATCTACGTAGCAAGTTACAAGACAGCCAGGGAGATACAGGAGATCATGTTTCAAAAGCAATATCAACAACAATAAAAAGGGCCAATCACATAGCTCGGTGGTAGAGTGCTTCCCTAGATTCAAATGTGTAATACAAAGGGGAGAAAGGAGGGACAGAGGAAGGGAGGAAAGAAGGGAGGGAGGGAGGGAGGGAGGGAGGGAGGGAGGGGAGGGAGGGCGAAAAGAAGGGTGGGGAAAAATAAGAGAAATGTGCTTGTTATGAAGATAGAGCTTCATGGCTAAAGAACAGAACCTTATAGGCTTACAATCACTGAAGCACAAGTCCAGACTCCCCTAATACACAAACAGAAATAAAATAAGGCTGGTGCCTGGAGAAATGGCTCAATGGTTAAGAACACTAGCTGGTCTTCCAGAGATCCTGAGTTCAATTCCCAGCAACCACATGATGGTTCACAACCATCTGTAAAGAGATCTTCTGCAGACAGACCACTGTATACATTATATATATATATATGTATGTGTATATGTATATATATATAAAGCTTAAAAATAAGGCTGAATTTCCATTACTCAGATCCATCAACACAAATGCTTTAACTCTGAGTATAAACTGGAGAGAGAATGAAACAGAGCTGATGGATGCATACACATCTAAGGGAGAAAGCTCTGACAAAATCCAGAGTCCGACTCACATCAGTTTTACAGGACCAGAGCTCTAGCCCCTGATTTTTGGAGCTCCGCTTCGAAGCACATACATTTTGAGAAAAAAATTACAGAATTCTTAATTTTTCCAGTCCAACATGACACATTTAAAACCAGTGGCTTTCAATCTGTGGGTCGCAATCCGTTTGGGGTTCCATATCAGACACCCTGAACATCAGATGTTTACATTACAATCCATAACAATAGCAAAATTACAGTAATGAAGTAGCAATGAAATAATGCCATGGTTGGGGTCACCATAACATGAGGAGCTGTATTAAAGGGTCTTAGGAAGGGTGAGAACCACTGTCTCAGCTGAAAGAAAAGCAAAGAAAAAGACAAGTATGAGATTGGGACAAGGTTTTCTTTGAGTCTCTGATGTCAAAACACAAGTAGCACAATATCCCTAGGTAAAGCAAGAATGGAGAACTTTATGTGAAGTTTTCTTAAAAGCACATATCACAATTCATAGATTCCTGGAAAGATCTGGAGAACATTCTGGAGCATCACTACATAAATAATGTTGAAACTGAAGCATTATTTATGAACAAGATGATTGTCTTTGTCAATTGCAAGATTATTCTGGTATATTTGAAGACTATATTTTTAAGGCATTTACTAAAGGAAAATTTTTTTCAAAAGCAGGTAAATAAGTTATACTATTGAAAGAGCCAATAAGAACCAATTAAAAACCAAACAAAATTGCCACAAAATTTCAAAGTAGGGGATGTTAGGACTCAGAAAGAGAATGTTTCAATCAAATTGATTCACAGAGTTGACTGTTGTGTAATTCTCAGTAGAGGTGCTAAAATTGGTTCCTTCATTACACAACCCTTTCTGTGAACGCTCTGGAGTTTCAGCTGTCTTCGTCTTGCTAGTGAAGAAGGCACTGTTGTCCATAACTTCTTTGAAGTACTTGTCCTCACCAAAGAGAAGACACAAAGGTGCCTGGATGTGCCAGAACTCTCAATCCATCACTGGTCCATCAAATTTGATTGAGTTGCTGGTAAGTAGACAATGGGTTAGATGCTACAGGATAACTAGCAAGGGCTGGGAGACACTCCAAAGAGATTTGTTTGTGGTGGTGATGATGCTCAGGGGATACTGATGTAGTAAGGCACCTTGACATTGAGAGAGAGAAAAAAACAGAAACAAGAGTGTCACATTCACCTACCCCCAAAAAATACATATTTCCCATTTCCTTAGTTCTTCATTTCTGAATATTTTTGGTGTCATAAAAGTGTCTCTAAATAATTTTATAGACCTTTCTCATGCTACTCTCCCTTCTTTTTCAAGGACTGGTGTAATCTGGACCTGAAAAGTCCCCAAAAGACCATTTGATAAAGAGTTAGTCCCCAGTCTGATGTGCTGTGAGGAAGTGATGGGAATACGAGGAAATGATGCCTGCTGGAAGAAAGTGAGGTCACTGATATCATGCCATTGAGGGGGACATTAGGACCCTTGTCCCTTTTCTGTGCTTTTGCCTTTTCTGACATCGTAAGATCAATTCCATTTAGAGTACCATAATAGTCTGCCTTACCACAAGCTCCAAACAAGAGGGAAAAGATCATGGACTGAAACCACCATTAAACCCAAATAAAACTTTTCTCTTTTACATTAATCACTAGGGTATTTTGTTCTAGTGAAGGAGAGCCCATTAACTTAGGGGCTCAGCCATACATCTAATGGTAAGTAATAGAAACAAAATGCCTTCCCTATGATTTGCACAGCTGTGGAAAGATCCACAGCAGGAGGCAGGGGGAGGAGGTTGGGGGGGACATGACTGAGGCTCCTCATTACAGCCTGCTCCAGCATGCCAGCCATGTGACTGAACCATCTAGAAAGTAGGTTCTTTTAGCTACAGTCATATATCCATCTATGTAATATATACACATACATATGTGTATATGCACACACATGTATGTGCATATATGTATCTGTGTATATATGTATGTGCATATATGTGTAGTGTGTATACACATATACTTACATATATGTGTGTATAATTGATTTTAAGCCAACACTATATTCTAACTTCATGAAAGAGTCTTGATATTGCCTGAGTTGTGTCTCCATTATCCCCCAAGCTCTATCATCTGGTACCTACAAATGTGATTTCATTTGGAAATGTGATCTTTAAAGATGTGATTCTGTGAAGATGACATGATTAAGGTGAACTCCAGCTAAATACAGCTGGTATCTTTATAAAACTGAGAAGTCGGAGCACAGGAATAAAAGCAGGGCTCTTATAAGGAGAAGATGGCCATGGGGTAATGAAAGCTGAGACTAGAAGGCTGGATCTGTGGAAGACCAATGTGTATCAGTCAATACCAAGTGCTAAGAGGTAGACGAGGATGAGCCCCTGTAGGTCTTGTTATTGATGTTGGCTGGTCTTTTAAAAACAGGGTTATTTTCTGTATCTCAGGCTGATCTCAGACTCATGATCCTTCTGCCTCAGCTTCCTGACTGTTGGGTTTCCTCTATAGGTTTTGAAGGGATCTTCCCCTATTTCCATCTTAAGTTTAGATGTTTGGTATTCACTAATGTGAGACAATATTGTTTTCAAGCCATCCCTAGACTATACTATTTTACTATCACATCCATCCCTAGAACACTAATTCAACCAGAAACAGATAGACTAACCACTTTCTCATGTCTGACCTTCAGAGACTATATAAGTTTATTCAGGATTAATGTACAAAGATACTAAGTTTTGGTGAAATATGATCCTTCAATGTTTGAACACTTTTTTGTTAGACTGGAACCAACATCTCACTTTAGTTCAATAGTTGATTATCATTTGGAAAACAAAATAAGGTCCAAAAATATTTAAATAGATGACTGATAATATAAACTTAGACTGATGAGGCAACTGTATTATAAACACAGAAGACAGATATCACTCAGCAATGAGACAATCTCATGAAGTCAATAGCTCTTCCTATGAGTTTTTCTACATTTCTCAGAAAAGACAATAAACCAACAAAGCTCACTGATAAAAATTAACAAGACTTGGAACCACAAACAGCATCATTCAACTTCTCCCCAGAAAGACAAAATAGGTAGGTAAGTTGATAAGTAGGTAGATAGATGATAGGTAGATAGTAGATAAATATGTAGTTAGATAAATGGAGGATAGGTAGATAGATTATAGATAGCTGATAGATAAATAGATATAAAGATAATAGATAACTAGATAAGATGATAGATAGATAGACAGATGGATAGGTAGATAGATAATAGACAGACAGATAGATAGATAGATAGGTAGATAGATAATAGACAGACAGATAGATAGATAGATAGATAGATAGATAGATAGATAGACAGATAGATGGATAGGTAGATAGATAATAGACAGACAGATAGATAGATAGATAATAGACAGATAGATAGATAGATGGATAGGTAGATAGATAATAGACAGATAGATAGATAGATAGACAGATAGATAGATAGATGGATATGTAGATAGATAATAGACAGACAGACAAATAGATAGATAGATAGACAGATAGATGGATAGGTAGATAGATAATAGACAGACAGATAGATAGATAGATAGATAGATAGATAGATAGATAGATGGATGACATAAAATGTAAGTGGGAACTGGATGAACATTTATAGAAAAGCACTAGGAGAAAACAGACAAAATGTGTAGAATTCCATGTAGCAGAAAGGTATAATTATGACTTGTCCAAATTATTGCAGTTTTTTTACAATTGTTTTCCACCTCTTATTTTAATTTAAAATCATTTTCTATATTCATTCATTGTGTGTGTGCTGAGGATTAACCCAGGGTCTCCTAAACCAGCACTCTGTCACTGACCTTCACCAGGGTCCTGTGTCCATAGCAAAATGATTTACCTAGACTGCCTACTGTAAGTTTAGAAGTCTTCTGTTTTACTTCATTATTTACTAATTCAAATTAGATCCAGGTAAGGTCACTTCAAAGTTTTTAAACTATGGAGAGATAAATAAAAAATAGAAATGTAATTCTTTGGCATATAGCTTCCTTTCTCGGATTGCAACTAATCTTAATAAATTCAACCCATGACACAGGATCTGGCCAGCCCTGCACTGACAATTCCAGGGACATTAATCTTTCTAAAGCTATAAAAAAATAAACAAACTCCTCTTTGCAACAGACAGACAGTACAGACCAGTGCAGATAACCACAACTTGTCAAAATTCAGAGAACAATTCATGGTGGGTTTCTAACCCCAGCATCTATAGCCACAATACAAGTCCATCTAAGGCTCATGAACATTACAGGAGAGGGGTCAGAAAGAATACAAGAGCCAGAGGACCAGGACATCTGTTGTGAGATTGTGTCTCCTAGAAATGACAGGGAGCTTCACCTCTGATACCTAACAATATAGCTACATAGAGAATAATTAAAATATTTTTAAAGGAGAAGTCTCAATTCCAACCCTCTGCCACACACCACTGACTTATAACCTGTCATGTTATTTTTCCTTCTTGCTAGGAGCACAGAGCTCTCCTGTAAAACAGAAAACTCCCTTCCTCTTCAAACAGTAGCAACTGGAAACTCTAAACCCTTTTACATGTGAGCTGAGGGTCTTATTTCAATGTTGTGCTCTGGGCCACTGTTACTTCCCAGTGACACATAAAACCAGTGTGTCACAGGTGTGCACTCATGTTATCAGTGTCCAAAGACACCAGCGTCACCTATTTATCCTGCTCTAGCATAGTTGACGTTAAGATTTTTCTGGAAGTTTGGTTTGGTTTTCTTTTCAATCAAAGAAAATAACAAAAACGATAATTTCCTCAGAAACTCGTGCTTGTGTGTGTGTGTGTGTGTGTGTGTGTGTGTGTGTGAATTTTTAAAGTAACTATTGTGTGTGATTAAGTGAAGACAAAACTCCATGCTGTGGTAGTTGAAATACTTGTGGAATTTATTAACTTCAGCATACATGCTAAGGCCAAATGAGCTTCTTTAATTTCCATAATGAAATTGTTTTTGTAAAGTTAAAAATACTGTAATGAGGCCAAAACGGTGTGCTTTCAGGGGGCTCCCATGGCGAAACAAATGAGATTTTAGCTTCTCTAATTGGGCATACTGCAAGCTGGCTTGATGCTGTCCTCAACGCAGGGTGTTTGTTATCCTAACAAAAACCGGGGTCTACAGCTGTCAGCAAATGCTAGATGGCTTTTCAGAAGCCTGGTGTCGGGGGGGAAGACTGCTGCTTTCTGCCTGGGACCACCCAAAGGGCAAGATCAAGTAGAGAATGGGGCTTCTCTTCCCTGATTAAGAAGTTATTCCTAAAACAATTTGTTTACAGCTATCAAAGCATCGCTTTGCAACTAGCCAGGGACAGTTCCCAGAATCCTCAGAAAGTATTTTATTTGATTAAACAATGAATATGGATTTTTCCCTCTTTCTATCTCCATTTTTCCCCCTTATGAATTAAATCTCATTACCTGTCAACATAGGCTTTGGAGTCTTACTGCTTCTGTAGAAAACAAAAGTTCAGCCCATTTTGTCCAGGCAGCTCTGCCAAGCTCTGCTGGCAAGCCCCTCGGTGGGCTCCATGGTAACAGCTACACCCTTCTTTGAGCTTTGGAATGGTTTTGATGTAATATTGTCTTCATTTATTTTTAATCGTGACTTTCAACTACAAAGGAAAGTGAAATAGAAGGTTACCATCAAATTAATTATTAGCCACCGTGATAGGTAAGTGAGAACAGGGTTTGCCTCATTTGCAGCAAGTATGTTATTTTAGATATAAATATTCAACAGGATCCAGGACGATGAATAATTTTGTTGTAAACTTGCATGGTATTCAGTTGCATTTTACTTGGTAGTAGACAAGTGAACGATTGGTATACAATCAAAATATATGAAAAATTAATAGCATACCCACCAGATGAATTCACATCTCCTAAATCCAATTATTCAAAGGGATAAATATTTAAAAGATAATATAAGCTGCTATAGTAGACTATAATTATACATTACAGTAAGATGTGCACTTCCAGCAGCGCAATTCCAAATGCTCTTTTCGGGTTGTTCTAGAAGACAACGGCATAAATCACCATGGAGGAATTAGATGAAATGGATTTTATTATATCAAAACTTCCCCCCTTGCTTTTAATTAATAGCTTCTACTTTACACTAATCTGATTGTTGTTTATTTGTTCAAAACATAAAACAATCCCTCTTTAATAAAACAAGAGGATGCAAGTAATCTTCCTGTTCTCTGGGACTTTTGGAGTCTAACCAATTCTATAGACACACACAAGATGAATTTAAATATAAAAGAGACATTTCGAGGGGTGGGAGAATCTGCCTTTTAAAATTCTGTAACTATAAACTCTAAGGTCAACTGAACTGCTTAGCTATGCACATTAATTTTACTAATGTGATAAACTAAAACTGCAGTTCCAGAATAATGCCCACCCTCAAGGCCTACAAATTCCAATCTAAACTCCCAAAACAACAGCAAAGTCTAGTGGCAACAACACACACCCTGAGATTCAAGTGATCCCCAGTAATTGTGAGACCTGCACAGCTCAAAAACTACAGTTTCATCCTGTGAGGCATCAACTACACTGAGCTACTGTGAACACAAAACATGAACATGCATGTTGGAAAGGTGCCTGTATGTTATAAGTTGTTTAGTTAATGTATACTATAAAAATGATGTGGTTGTGCAGGAGAATAGAGACTGGGAGATGAAACGTCAGGATTAACATACAAAAGAAGCCAGTTTTCAGAGAAGGATTGTCAGGGTATGCTCAAGAAAAACCCTCCTTCTCCATACACAGACTTGGGAGATGAGGGTGTTGGTTGGAAAATGTGGTCTGATATTGGGGAGGGGCTATCCTTGAATTGCTAGGGCACTTCCATTCTTGGGACTCTCTCTCTCTCTCTCTCTCTCTCTCTCTCTCTCTCTCTAACTATCTGTCTCTCTCTCTCTGTCTATCTGTCTGTCTCTCTGTCTGTCTCTCTCTGTCTGTCTCTCTCTGTGTCTCTGTCTCTGTCTCTGTCTCTGTCTCTGTCTCTCTCTCTCTCTCTCTCTCTCTCTCTCTCTCTCTCGGAACCCTCCATTGAGAAAGTGACTCCATAATATCAGGCTGTAAACTAGTGACTGTTGGGAGAGGGTCTGGCCCATTTGGTTGAAATTGTCCCTGGGTTGGTGGTCCTGGGTTCTATAAGAAAGCAGGCTGAAAAGGATCCAATCAAAAAGTGGGGTACAGAACTAAATAGAGAATTCTCAGTAGAGGAGTCTAAAATGACTGAGAGACACTTAAGTGCTCATCATCCCTAGCCATCCGGAAAATGCAAATCAAGACAACTCTGAGATATCATCTTACTCCTGTCAGAATGGCTAAAATAAAAAACTCCAATGACAGTTTATGCTCCAGAGGATGTAGGGAAAGGGAACACTCTTTCACTGCTGGTGGAAGGGCTGACTCGAACAGCCACTTTGGAAATCATTATGGAAATTCCTCAGGAAAATAGGAATCAGTCTACCTCAAGATCCAACAATTCCACTCTTAGGCATATACCCAAAGGATGCACATTCATACAACAAGGATGCCTGTTCCACCATGTTCATAGCAGCATTATTTGCAATAGCCAGAACCTGGAAGCAACCTAGATGCCCCTCAACTGGAGAGTGAATAGAGAAAATGTGGTACATTTACACAATGGAGTACTACTCAACAGAAAAAAAAACAATGGAATCTTGAAATTTTCAGGCAAATGGATGACACTAGAAGAAATCATCCTGAGTGAGGTAACCCAGTCACAAAAAGAGAAACATGGCATGTACTCACTCATATATGGATTTTAAACATGAATCAGGGGAGTGCCAGCATACAATCCCACTGCCAGAGAGTCTGAGAAATAGAACCTTCACCCAGCGACTGATGGAAGCAGAAGCAGACACCCACAGCTAAACACTGAACTGAACTCCTGGAATCCAGTGTTAGAAAGAGAGAAATGATGAGCAAAGGACTTAAGACTGGGCTGGTTTAACCCACAAAAACAGCTGACCTGAACAAGGGGGAGCTCTTGGACCCCAGATTGATGACTGTGTGGAAAGCATGGGACTCACCCAGACCCCCCGAATGTGAGTGAGGAGACCTAGGTAATATATGGGGTCTTGGGTAGTATTTATCCCTGGCGTACAAATAGACTTTGAGTGCTCATGCCACAATGAGGGAATGCTCTCTCAGCCTGAACACTTGGGGGAGGGCCTAGGCCCTGCCCTGGATGAAATGACAGACTCTGGAGATCCTCCATGGACAGTCTCACCCTCTCTGGGCATTGGAGTGGAGATTGGGTGGGGACCTGGTGGGTCTGGTGGGGAGGGTGGGGGAGGGAGGAAGAGGGGACGGAGAGGGGGCTGCGATTGACAAGTGAAACAAGCTTCTTTCTAACTTAAATTTTTTTAAAAAGGAAGAGGAAATAAAAACAAGAAAACAGGCTGAGCAAACCACAAGGAGCAAGCAAGTAAGCAAGGCTTCTCCATGACCTCCACATCAGCCCCTGCCTCCAGGTCCTGCTGCCTTGGCTTCCTTTGATGTTGAACTGTGATGCAGGAGTGGAAGTTGAATAAAAAAAACCCTTTCCTCCCCACGTTGCTTTGGTCATGGTGTTTCTCCCTCCAACTTCTGAGTGTTCTGTTGAGAAGTGAGCAGTGAGGACCTCAAGTTCCAGTGATGATACCAACCTGAGGACCCACACCTTAACATGTGGGTCTTCGGGAACTTCAACACGCAAAGTATAGTCCTCTCCTGCATCTAAAATATCTGTCCACTGGAGCCTCTGCTGGTGTGTGCTTTGTTCTGGGCTTGAGATAGGGTCTCACTGTGTAGCCTAGATTGGACTGAATCTTAAAGCCTTCCTCCCTTAACCTCTCAAGTGCTGGCATCAGGTGTGTATCTGAATGCCTGGCCTTTCTACTTTACATAATATTAAGTTAAGTACTTATTCATGATGACTATCTACCAGCATCTGCTGTATGAGACCCTAAAAGCAAGAAAAATATGTTGAGATTAAGTTGAAATATTTGGTAATAAAGATATGATAGATATCACCTGAATAGCATTGATCCACATGGTACCAGGCATTAAAAGTCACTATTGAGCATTAGATTGAAGGATTCATTTGAAAGCCACTGAAATAGTGTCCTCCACTGTTTACATCAATAGATACTCTACAACCCATCTTCATCTTCTCCAATCCATTACTGTATAAGTACCTCTCAATTCACTAATACCTCATTGCCTTTTCAAATACAATATGTATGTGTGCATGTGTGTGTGATAAACATACCCTTAAGAAAGATCATGGACCTACTTATAGTTTCAGAATGGGGATTTTCAATTGTGCAAAGCCCTCTGCAACATCTCCACTCACCTCAGACATGAGCACTGTAACATGTATGGGCATAGCTGAGGCAAATTTATCATGACAGCAGCCAAATAATAAATCTGTATCTCTATAACCAGTTCCATTTCCGAATAATTTCTCTGTCGCACATTATTTTAGGCTGCCAGATTGCTCCATTCTCTTTTTGTCCCCTTCCTTTTACTTTGGGGTTAAACTGCACTTTCAAATTCGCATTATTTTGCAGATAGCATGTCACCTTCACTTAAGTTGCTAAAGCTGGCATTTCTCTTCCATCAGCTGGAGCAGTTAATTTACTCGCATTGACCAGCCAACAGTGTAATCTACCACCTGATAATTGTGTTCTTCTTGGGCCACTGGTGTCTTAAAAGCCAGAGAAGACTTAATTTTTTATTTTTATTTCCATAGGTTTGGTCTTAAATTCTTTGAATTGTTGAGGGTCTCCATAATTAGGTAAGTTCTTTTTCTTTTAAAAATCTTTTAGACAAATCTCATTTATCCATCTGTGTTGTGTATGAAATAGGAACACAGACCATACTGGGATGGACAAAGTCACAGAGGAACTTAACACACAGTAAGACATAAGGCACATACACATTTAAGGACTGATGGGTAAACTATTTTCCAACAGATTATTCTAAAAGAGGTAACCTAGTTACTGACATCATTCAAAGATATGAAGAGGGGAAAGAATGAATATCATGCAGTAACCAAACAGACATCTTCTAAAATGTTCACATACCAGACCTAAAGTATTATAAAGCAGAGAGAGAAATATTTCTTAAACCCACTAAGTCATACTGAAAGCAAATATTTGTTAATCAAAAATGTGAGACCATTAAAACCTGCCAGAGATGAATTTCACAGCTATTTTAATCTCCTGTAAATAATCACTACTTCCACTTCTCTCTAAACTATTATAACACCAGAAAATGCTAATCCGTACCTCTTAAGAGGAGACAAAGCTAGAAGCTAGATGCATGCCTTGTTTGGTCTGCTACATTATTTTGGGCTGAGAGATTGCAGTTTTGACAGTGGGGCCATCTGCTACTAACTTTTCTCCTCATCTTCATGCCAGTCCAGTCAAAAGCAATTAAACCTGTTTTGCCATTATAATACATAGATAATGATGATAAATTATAGCTTTAAAATGAGTCTCAGGTTATGCCTATGCTAGGTATTTTCCTCCCAGTGATGGGCATAAGTACAATCCCTGTACGTGTAAAAATTTTCAGCTATTTTATTAATGATGTTACCTCTATAATGAGCTACCTACCAGGGTATTTTGCAGGCACAGAGCCTAGCAGTCATTATAAATCTATTTATATCTCAGCAAGATGTTTCAAGTGGCTCGCATAGCCCTAACATTCTGCATTCGCTGTTGAACAAAATATATGGCACACACAGCCCCAACTTGCTATGTTTTATTATGTCACATAATCAATAAAACACATAAATACCACCAATAAAAAGGAGCAGGAAGAAAATTCTATGACTCCAGCACAACATGGGGTTACACAGAAGAGAGACGATGAGGCTTAATGATTTCTAGGGACAGACACAAACCCATCATTCTTGAGGCAAGACACACATTACTTCTGATTTTCATCAAAAATGTTAGGACCTTTTTCAATGTGAAAACTATAAATAAGCCCATGTTTGAAAATAATAACCTTTTTATTTTCCTAAAGGAATCTTGGTGGGGTGCTCCAGATAGGACAATGGTTCCATGTTTCGTTGGGATTTTCAAATTTTGTAGCTAATTGCATAACTATCTTATTTTCTCATGGTTTGGTAAACACATTTTGTTTCCCACTTGTAATCATGTCAGAAAGAAAGAAAACCATAGTAAATGCCTTGAACGCCCCCCCTCCTCCTTATAGCCACCCAAGACACACCTTCTCTACATCAACTAATGAATGTGTTTCTCAAATGAAAATCACCAGGGCTGGGGCATGGTGATGGCTCAGTTGGTACAGTGTTTGCTACACAAGCATTAGGACATGACTTTAGACCCCCAGGACCCACGTAAAGGCCAGTCATGACTCTTCACACCTGTCACTCCAGTGCTGAGAAGAAGATGGGATTCCCAGAGCCCCTGGCTAGCCCATCTGGCCAGTCACTGGGCCCCAGCATAGGCAAGAGACTTTTAAAAACTAAGTTAGGGGATGGGTGAGAAAATTAAGTGTGGAATGTGCTCACCACACAAGCATGGTGACTTGAGTTTTGATCCTGGAGCCCATGTAAAGTAAAAAGAGAGGCAACAGTCTACTAGGTTTTCCCCTTATCTCTACATGCATGCCATGCGTGTGTGTACTCACAACCCCCTTCCCATATGCATGCACATTAATAAAGTGGAGAGAAATAGAGAAAGAACGTGATGTCAAGTTCTTGCCTCTGCACTCACAGCCACACAGAAACATGTACACAGTACATATATACACAGTGTATACACACACATACACACACACACACACACACACACACACAGAGGCATGCCACGTACGCACACAAGCACACAAAGAATATAAAAGGAAAAAGCAAAAGAATTGAGTGACCCCTCCCTACTGTTCCTGACAATTATTTTCTCTTGCAAGAAAGCATTTGGCATAGTAAACATGTATTAATTATGGATATCCAACTTTCTAATTCTGTTTTATCATCAAAACACAGCCTAATGATTATGGGGAGGAAAAAAAAGAAGCAGTTTTATCAGAAAGAAAAGAAACTCTTAGCCACATTGGGAACTGTTGTGCCTGGCAGTGGTTCATTACAGCCTATCTTTTCATTACTATGTGACACTCATAAATAAGTGGAAGAACGTGGAAAAACGAGACACTCGCCAATTATATCCACCACAACGCTACATAAATGGAGGCAGTCTATTGATATTTTAATAGGCCTTCTCCCAAACTATATTAGAAACAGGAACCTCAATTACAACTAATCATCTATTTGCAGACAGGGGCATTATTCTTCATGACTTACACAAGGATGCACCTCCAATCCACACCATTCTTCAAGACATCATTTTAGGTCAGACTCTTAGCAGCCCTTGGATTTCTTCAGACAAAGCATGAGTAATAGGAACTTACCCATTGCAAATTCTGAACATGAAGTACATGGCTCCTTTGCTTTTGATTTATCCGTTTTTGGTCTTGATTTATAGGAAAGATCCTTTAGGCACCGGTACAGTTTCATCAGGCTGAAGATTGGTGGCCACATTCTTACCCTATGGAAACATTTCAAATCCTAAATAAACAGCGATGCTGCTTCACTTCAGTTTCTCCATGTGCTTGATTGTGTTTAATGAAATACACGTTGTGAGTTGAATGTACCCAAATGATGGTTATAAACAAAAGGGTTCCTTGTTCCAGGAAACGGCACTTGAAATGAGCAATGTAAGCATTTTAATATTGGCCTTAGCAAGGAAAGTTTAGAAAGAGGTGGGATGTGAGAAGATGGAAAAACAAAATCTATAGGAAAAGTGACTAGTGAGGGAGCACATGGAGGCAGTTGTAGGTAACAAAGAACTTGGGAAAGCCCCATTCCCTTGGATCTGCAAGATGGCTATAAACAGAGAAAGTGAAGGACTATGAAGCCCTAAATCAAGTGAAGTCATAGGAAAATGAATACAATGGGAAGTGGGGGGGTCTCTCAGCTCCAAGGGTGGCTGTGTCCTAACTGTCATATTGCTTGGAGGCTATCTCTAATTTGACAATTAAAAGAATGCATCTTTCTCAGGGGATCACTAGGAAGATGGAGAGATATAACATAGAAAGGCATTTATGAAGAGGTTCAGGAGATGGCCCAGGTAGTAAAGTTCTTAGCCTACAAGGATGACGACTGAGGTTCTAGCACTGGCTTCAGAAGCCAGGTGTCTTGGTACATACTTGGAGTCCTGTGCTGTGCGGATGGAGACTGGAGGATCTCTAGAGTTGTCTAAACAGGTTGCTTAGCCTATAGAGTGAACCCCAAATCCCAGTGAAAGACCCTGTCTTGGGAAGACAGACAGAAGAAAAAGGAAGAAAGGAGGAAAGAAAGAGGGGGGAGAGAGAGACAGACAGAGAGAGAGAGAGAGAGAGAGAGAGAGAGAGGGAGGGAGGGAGGGAGGGAGGAAAGAAGAGAGATAGAAAGGAAGGAAGGAGAGAGAGAGAGAGAGAGAGAGAGAGAGAGAGAGAGAGAAAGAAAGAAAGAAAGAAAGAAAGAAAGAAAGAAAGAAAGAAAGAAAGAAAGAAAGAAAGAAAGAAAAGAAAGAAATATGGATAGCTCCCTAGGAACAACACTGAAGTTTGAACTCTGTCTCCCACATTCGCATACATGTGAACACACACACACACACATACTCTGGACCTCTACTGGGTCCTTAGTCAAAGAGAAGGTGTTAATAAATGGCATTTGTCTTGGTTGTCTGCTATGTCCAGCAGTTATTTTAGATAATTTTTTTCTTGACTATAAAAGTTCCAAAGTAGTGCCATGGAAAGCATCTCTCTTTTGTTCCCTACATCATAAAGTATGTTTTCTCTCTGTTACTAGTGAATTCTCTACACCGTAAAGACCATCAGCTCTCCTGCTCCTTGCCAGAAGCCACAGTTCACACCACGTGGGGCATTTTTAAAAGAATGCTAGAGCCCCTGATTAATTTATCTGTGAGACTGTGCTTGAAGATTTCCGAGAACTGCGCAGAGGATTCTAATGCAAAGTTAAGATTGAGCCCAGGGCTTCATCGGATGTGTGGGTGGAGCTGGGTTGGTGGGCAGAGGTGAGCTGAGTCACCAGTGAGTCTGATTTCCCAGTGAGCATGAATGCTTTAACTTTAATGGCTATTTTTAAAGAATCTCTTTACAAATAAAAACATTTCCTATCCTATCAGGAAGGTCAAGTGGCATTTAGTACATGGTATCTAACTAAAGGTAAATATATCCCATTTTCTCATTTGGCTCCTTTGTTCTCATTAGCACCTGCCAGTCAGTGTGTTGTTACATTTTTATTCCCCTAGGTTTAAAAGATAAAATACTCGTGTTCATGGCTAAGGTGGCATGCAGGCTATCAATATCCTTGTCTTTATCCTCCAAGGGTGCAACAGTCCTGCTTCTGGTCTTGTATCATCCCTGTGTTGGAATAGTTTTGAAACTCGGACATCAATCTGCCTCACATAGCCATAGTTAATTGTCCATTCTAAAATTCTGGGAAGGTGTTCCACTATGTTCATAGCAGCATTATTTGTAATAGTCAGAACTTGGAAGCAATCTAAATGCCCCTCAACTGGAGAGTGGATAGAGAAAATGTGGTCATTTACATAATGGAGTACTATTCAGCAGAAAAAACAATGGAATCCTGAGATTTGCAGGCAAATGAATGGCACTAGAAGAAACCATCCTGAGTAAGGTAATGCAGTCACAAAAAGAGAAACATGCCATGTACTCTCTCATATATGGATTTTAGACATAGATCTGGGGAGTGCCAGCCTACAATCCCATGGCCACAGAGTCTGGGAAACAGAACCTTCCTTCAGTGGCTGATGGAAGCAGAGGCAGACTCCCATGGCTAAGCACTGAGCTGAACTCAAGAAAGCCAGTAACAGAGAGGGAGGACTAATGACCAAAGGGATTAAGACTGGGCTGGTTTAACCCCCAGAAACAGCTGACCTGACAAAGGTTAACTCTTGAATCCCAGGCTGATGCCTGGGAATCCAGCATGGGACTGATCAAGACCCCCTGAATGTGGGTGTCAGTGAGGAGGCCTAGGTAATCTATTGAGCCTTGGACAGTAGATCAGTATTTATCCCAGTTATACAAATGGACTTTGGACTCCCATCCAACAATGTGAGATGCACTCTCACCCTGAACTCTTGGGGGAGGGTCTAGACCCTGCCCTGGATGAAATGACAGACTATGGATACCCCCAAGGAGGGCCTCACCCTCCCTGGGAAAATGAGGGGATATTGGGGGGGTTGGGAGGAGGGCACGGGAGGAGGGGGGAAACAGAGAGGGAACTGGAATTGACTTGTGAAGCAACCTTGTTTCTAATTTAAATTTAAATTTAAAAATAAATAATAAAAAAATTCTGGGAAGGTGACAAGTTATCTCTTATTATTTAACTGCAAAGGTGTCATACTTAAATTAGAGTTGCTTCCTCAACACACCTTCCAATCAAGTCCTTTCCAAGAAATGAAAAGGAGACATGATTGAAATTAGACCCAGTTCTGGTCTACCTAAAAGTTCTTCTATGTTCTTCAAGTCTGCTAATTCTTCTAAGACTCCTTCAGCATGGGGAGAGATGAAGGGACCCACTCACTTTTCTTCCAGGTGGGAAATGGCACCTGTGTCCTGCCTCTGTGGGCCTCAGTAGCAGCAGTTATTTCAAAGATGCCAATCCATCCGCCAGTTGTGTTGACATTCATCAATTATGTCAGTGCCAAACAATAACAACAAAAAGAGAGAGGCATGAAAACAAGCTGTATGAATTGCTATTGTAGAAAAATAGCTGTATTGATTACAACTCCATGTTACAAAGGAAAATAGAAAAGGGATTTCCAAACAGCAGACAGCAGAGGAAGAAAGAGACAATTTCCTGAATGTTTTGGCTTTGTTCTTTTAAAATGTTTGTCTTGGAGAATGCCAATTTAGAACTGAGAGTTGGATCGTACCCTCCTCTCAATACAGTTTAAATAAAAATTAAGAGCCAATTTAAACAGGCAGGGAAGGTCTGTTGGTCTGTTACTGTGGCAACAGGCATCCCCAAGACACAGAATCACTAAGAAGTTAACTAGATGCACCTTGTCCTGACTATCCACGTAAGCCATCGCACTAAACTGCCGCGAATCACTGGCAACTTTGCAGAGGAGGGCCCGTGCAAGTGGGTCCACCAGGAAAGCCGATAATCCAATTTAGGAGTGCAGCTTCTCGTCTTAGTTTCATTGGCATGCTCATTTCGAACTAAAGGGATCTGAGCAGTAATTCTATAAACAACCAGCATTTAGAAATCAGACACAACAAGATCCCCCAGAGGTATAATTGCTTTAAAACCAGGCAACCTGAAATTGTGACTGTCTTCTGCTGCAGGAGAAGGGAAGAAATCTCAGCTGGGAGGTGAGGAGCTAGTCAAGGCCTCCAGCCAGCTGAGCTCTGCTAGGACATCCCCAGTACCCAAAAAACAGAATGCCATCCAGTAAGATTCAATGAGGATTTTTTGAAGCACTTACTATTGCATTAGGGACCAATACATTTTATATCAACTAAAATTTTTTAAATTCAAGAGTGTCAAGAGGACTATTACATAAATAATTTAAGGAAGACCAACCAAATTCAAATCATCAGTCTGCCATCTCACTATCAGGGACAGAGATGACATAACCTGGCTGATTCTACTTACACCATCTCAAAAATGTTAACAGTAGTTTTATCTTCTTTTTAATCACCTAGTAGAACTGACCATGTGTTTACCATGGCTTTCAGTGAATGCCATTCCTCTGCATAGTGTTCTTCTTTTGAATAATAAAAAGAATTATATTGGCTACAACATGGGAACTGACTTTATTAACAAAAGAAAACTGCTCTAAACAGAAAAGGAAAAAAGAAGGTCAATTCTGATTATTTTGAGGAAAAGAGCTACGGACAATTAGTAACACTGAATGAACTGAATATCCAACAGAGGTATTTTAAGAAAATAAATTTTAAAGGCTTTATATGAACCCAACCACTCCACTGAGGTCTTTGGCACTGCCCTTCACAGTCAAGGCACCAGAGCCCTCCTCCTGACATAGCAGCTGTGGTGGTTTGAATAGGAATAGTCCCTTAGGCCCATCCATGCGTTTGAATATGCCACAGGGAGTGGCACTATTAGGAGGTATAGCCTTGTTGGAGTGGGCATGGCTATGTTGGAGGAAATGTGTCACTGTGGAGGGTGGGCTTTGAGGCCTCAGATGCTCAAGGCAGGCCTGGTGTGGCACTCACTTCTGTTGCCTGCCTCTCAGCTTCTTCTCCAGTGCCATGTCTGCCTGCATGCCTCCATGCTTCCTGCCATGGTGATAATGGACTAAACCTCTGAAACTGTAAGCCAGCCACAATTATGTATTTTCTTTTATAAGAAGCACTTTTCAAGATTCCTGCTGTACCCAGAATCTGCTCGCTGCTTCCTGTTCCAAGGGGTGGCACCTTGTGAGCCCTAGATCTCCTGTCATAATCCCTACAGTGACTTTTTGTAGGTGTTCCAGTATTTTTCCTACTCCCTTATACTCTTTCATCAGAACCTCTAGAGAGGTCCTCTTAAAATGCACCAGGTGACAGGTGACAAGATCTACCAGATTTCCCCTTCCCATAATTTTCTAGCTCTCCTCCCAATTCAATTTTTTTCTAGAATCTCAGCAAACATAAGGTGGATAGGCCTTTGACCAGTCCCTGTGAGATAGTGTTAGAACAGTCAGGCCAATCTGACTGGGTTTGTGCACCAGGAGTCTCAGGCCAGACCAGATAGCTTATACTTTCAATGTGATTTATGGTGGATGCCTGCTATTACTGTCTTGAGCTCTGGCCCATACTACATCAACTTGACCTCAGGAGGATCAGGGCTGGAGAAAAAACCCTAAGGTCAGTCATCCAGGTGCCCCACACCTAGATGCTGGACCCCAATAAACACCGGATGTGAAGGCATGGTGGATTTCCTTCGTTGGGAATCCTTCATGCGCATTATCATAGATCATTGTTGGGAAACAAGCCCTCCTGTGACTCCACTGACAGAGAACAATGGGGATCTTGCCCTGCTCTTTCCTGCTCTTGGTTGATTTTAATCTTTTATGTTTTTTTTTGTTACAACAACCATACACTTAAGCAGAATTTCTTTTCTCAGCTCTACAAGGAAATCACCAAACCCCAAGGCAGCCAGGGGAACCACTGACACACCCAGAGTTCAGCACAGTGTCCAGCATATAACAAGCTGGTAATAAAAGCTTAGTGGTGAGTGGGGGAGGAAGGAATACGATGAATTATTGTCATGCAAATACCATCTAAATATTTCCCCTCCTCTCTCCCTCTCCCTCTGCCTCTTCCAAGAGTCATTCCCTTTTTCATCCATTCTAATTTCAAATATCAGGTCTGACCACTGCCTAGTAAAACAGCAGCCCTTAAAACTGTCACTAAATCCAGTTACAGCTGACAGAGAGGTAGGATTTGGAGATCAAGATCATTTGGGTAAACAGGACTTTGCCTTTGCAGGTCATCTTCTGAGTCAAATAATTTGTTTTGCTGCACAACTCCTGCCCTTCGACCTGGCTTGAACCCAACTTCGGGATGCAGTCACCAAAACTGAGCTCTAACCATTCCTGGATGCTCCTCACTGAATTGGTAACAAGGTAAACGTATTTGCTTGGGATTTGACAGCCAGTGATAGACAGGCCAGGGAAGTAGCCAGGGCCCAAGTTTGGCTACAGAGAGCTGATGTATGATGGCATGAGCATGTGTGAAATTTAACGATGGCTGGTAACACCCAAGGCGTTGAGGTTTCCTCTAGCCCACTGCACTGACATCTATCACTTTAATAGCCACCGAGGAAGAAAGATGTGTTTCTCATTAATACCCTGAATTTGACCTTCCACTTGTCTTGATTTGAAGCTCCATCATAGCAGGGAATGCAGCTGTGCCCATTAGAAGCAAGGAACTGTCCCTTTCTAGGGATTTATTTTTCCCATGGAGTCAAAAGTAACAGAATGGAAGGCAGTCAGGTCTGAGGTGGACAGGGTTATAGAAAAAGAACCCATTTCTGTTTGAGGTGCTCAAATATAGGAGACTATAAGATATCTTTTCAACCAGAAACCAAGGCAACTTTCTTTTACTATCACTTACCTATGGAGAAACCTCCCCCCCACACACAAAATAATAAAAATTCACCTGATTTAACAAGTTTATTAATAGTATTATCTACCTGGCAGTATGATTAAGGATTGGATATGGTTTGATAATTTCTTGCAACCAAAGAGTTTTAGTTAATTGACACATTAACTACAGTGTTAAAGGAGGTCCTGTTCTATACTGTATTAGAGGAAGTCTCTTTTGTTGTTATTGGTTGGTTTGGTTGGGTTTTATTGTTGACGTTTTACAGGGTTTCTCTCTATACCCCTGGATATCCTGGAACTTGCTCTGTAGACCAGGCTGACCTCGAACCAGAGGATGTTACTCTAGGGTTCCTCTTGAAATGCCCCAGTGAATCAGCAATGATCACAGTGAAACAATCCCCATAATGGCATTTGCCTTCCTACCATATGTTCTCAGAAGTAGGACATTGGATTTGTTAAGCAGTATGAAGAAAGGAGGGACTTCATTTGCTTAAGCATTGAGGACAGCACTCTGCAACACTCCTTAAACAGCTCTCCTTGGTATGAAGGGATTAGTGAGAAAGTGTTTGTTTCTTGTATGAAGCTAAGCTTGATATATAATCTCTAATTCTGATATTATACATTTTTAAAAATGGGCCATAAAACCGGTTTGATGCTGTTCAGGATCAACTTAGTTAAGCAAATATCTATCTAGCACATCCCTAAACTTGCTCAATACCTGCATGATTCTTTGCCCCAAAGGTGTGGTTTGGAAGAATCACCCATTGTAGAGAGGGAGGAATGATGAGCAAAGCAGTCAAGACCATGTTGGGGAAACCCACAGAAACAGCTGACCTGAGTAAGTGGGAGCTCCCAGACTCCAGACTGACAGCTGAGGAACCTGCATAGGACTGAACTAGGCCTCCTGAACGTGGGTGTCAGTTAAGCGGCCCGGGAAGACTATGGAGCCACTGGCAGTGGAACCAGTATTTATCCCTAGTACATGAACTGGCTCTTTGGAGCCCATTCCCTATGTATGGAGAGATACTCTCTCAGTCTAGATACAGAGGGAAGGGCCTTGGTACTGCCCCAAATCATGTGACAGACTTTGATGATCACCCATAGGAGGCCTCACCCTCTTTGCGGAGTGGATGGGGGGTGGGATTAGGGGTTGGTGGGGTGAGTGGGAGAGCAAACTGGTATTGGTGTGTAAAATAAGATTGTTTTTAATTTAAAAATTAATAAAACATCACCCAGACATTTAAAAATGCATTTATTAAACATTTGTTGTTAAATAATTTTTTGTATACTGTGAAGATGTGTCTTTGCCAGTGTGCCTTCTGATTGATTTAATAAAGAGCTGAATGACCAATAGCTAGGCAGGAAGAGGTTAGGTACAGCTTCTGGGCAGAGAGAGAGAAATAAGAGATTAATGGAGGTGTGTGCGTATGTGTGTGTGTGTGTGTGTGTTTTGTGTGTGTGTGTGTGTCTGTGCTATAACATAGCCATGGGGGCTATGACTAGGAAGATGACTCAACAACTACCTACTCTTCCAGAGGACCTGAAATCTGTTCCCAGCACCCATATCAGGCTGCTCACAACTGCCCTGCAACTCCATGTGCAAGGTATCCAATGACCTATTCTGGCCTTCATGGACACACACACACACACACACACACACACATAGGGACTGCAAAGATGACCCAGAAAGTAAATACATTCGTCATACAAGTCTGCTGACCTGAGTTTGATTTCCAGAACCCAACATAACAGGTTTAAAGAGAAAACTTGCCCCACAAAGTAGTTCTCTGTCCTCCACATGTGTGTCACAGCATATGTGCCCAGACAGACACAACACACATGCAAATGCACACACGTGCACATGTAAATACACACACACACACACGCACACACGCACACACACACACTCTAATAAATTTTTAAAAAACTTGTATGGCCACCTGGGAAGATGGAAAATGGAGAAATAACTTGTGTGCCCTTCCTCTGAAGGGGTCAGAGAAGAAGTTACATCTAACAGGGAGTGTGTAGCTTGGTTTGATGTTATACAGATGAAGAGGGAAACATTCTCATCCAGGTGAACGCAGTGAACAAAGTTAGGATTGGTTCAAAGTTTGAAGGACTGGTAATTGGGAAAATATGTAAGAAGCATAGGGCCCATTGGGAGAGTAGACTGAAGTCATGTTGGTAGGCTTGCAGAGGTCAGGTATCTCTTCCCTGAGGCCTGAGAGAGAACAGAAG